GTGATGAATGAAGGTCGTGATGAATGCGAGTGTGATGATGAATGAGGGTGTCGTGATAAATGCGAGAGTTGTGATGAATGAGGGTGTAGTGATGAATGAAGGTCGTGATGAATGCGAGTGTGATGATGAATGAGGGTGTCGTGAAGAATGCGAGTGTGATGATGAATGAGGGTGTCGTGATGAATGAGGGTGACGTGATGAATGCTCATGTTGTGATGTATGTCCGTCATATATTTTCAACAGTTCAAAGTTTAGCCACTTAGGAAAGAAATAATTTAGTTTGATTTCCCTCATAGTATTTGTTATCGCTAGTTACTGATAGTGTTTATCTAGTACATGTTATTTCACGTTTATATCTAATAAGCAGCTTTACACGGCATTCTTAGGGAATTATAATCGCTATTAATAACAAATATGAATATGAATTATATTCATCGCTATGAATATCTCCAAGGACAGACCAGTTCAAATCCGCATTTTACACAGAAGTCTAATCTAACACTTGTTTCTAACAACGAAACTAAAAAATGTATCATTTCAATTAAAAACATGCACCGTATCTTTATAATAAAATAATTTCAACTTCCGAACCAACATTCTTCTCTCGTTTTGAAATGCCTTTCAAAAATTCAAAATTTATTCATCGAAAGGCTCCCAAACAGCCCCTATAACTATTCATGTATTTACCGGCCGAGGTTCTAACAAACGAACAAGAAAATATATAATAGCATATGACCGTGTTCAAATGCTCATGTTTGTTGACATATGTGTTTTCACATTAATTATTATAAGTCCTTTTATAGTTGTAAAAAAGTATATTTTGTCCAATTGAGAAGAGCTGTACGAAAACTTTCAAAAAGAATTGGGCTCTTGTTTTCAACAACACTTGTCTTGAAGAACAAGTAGTTTTTCAATATTAGTTTTCAATATTGGCCTAACTAGACCAATATTCGTACTCGCTGAGATTGCATTAAAATTTTAATTTTTTTAATTTTTCTTATTTGAATTGCATTTAATTCTAATTAAACATGTCTTTATTTCCCACGGTACAGAATATAGGGCTCTAGTAGTAGAATGACAGCGTATAGAGTGCTAAGCTGTAGTATATTAGTAAGGTATATATGATTCCAGTTACTCGTATATTATATTGCATTATATAATATTATATTATAATATATTATATTATGTTATATTATATTATATTACATTTTATTATATTATATTACACACAACACTCTCCCGCCCAGACTGGCCAGCGTCCCAGACGGTGGACGTGACGTCACGGGGGGGCGGCGGTTCGCCCACTCATCAGTGACGGCAACTGTGGGCGGGGCAGCGACCCCCACATTTACGTACGTCCTCCCCCCCCCCCGCTATCGTTATGAAAAATTATAACTTTATTATAGTATGTTTGTAGGTGTTTGTTATACCCTGAGAATATTCTAGTATAATATATTCTGCCCAACCTCCCCCCCCCCCTCCTCCCGCAACCGTGATGAAAACTGATTATTTTGCATAGTTTGTTTGTAGTTGTTTGTTATACCCCTGAGAATAGTCTAGTATAATATATTCTGCCCAAGAGTCACTACACTCGGCTAAGAGTTATTCTGGGTCTGCTCGGCCACCTAATCGAAATCAGCTTCTGATCATAATCTTCTATACGATTTTCCGGCCCGTATCTAAATTTCGTTAGTGCGTGTGTCTTTATTGACGATAACAAGCGCAGTAGAATATTTAAAAATAGAATGACAACTATAATTGTTAGATATAGACTATGTAGCTCTTTTAAATTAAATAAAACGTCGAAAATGCACATGTGCAGTTCTCGATGACTTACATGTCTGCGGGTGAATATGTACCTGCAACGCAGGTACATATTCATAATACGGAGTTTTACTTCTCACATTGATGGTACATGTTGTTACACTTATGTTGCAGCTTGTTACTCCTAATTTACTGCGTGTTATAATCATGTAACAGTGCATCACAGCGTATTACCCTCATTTTACATCATGTTATACTCATGTTACAGCGTGTTATGCTCATGTTGAAGCGTGTTATACTCATGCAGGGTGTCACTTGGTTCCGAAGAGCTGGTTCAGCTGGAGGCGAGGAGCCTGGATTCAATGGGCATCCCTGACGAGAATGGCTGCCATCTCATCTTTCTTGCATCGTTCGAGAAATTCAGGAAACTGTTTGTGACGGGAAGCAAAAGTCGTATTATAGTATCGCTGAAACTCCCTTCCAAACGCCAGGCACAGACGCTACTTGAGATGCTTGACTTGCTGCAAAAATTGCCTCCTCCTGCAGCTGAAACAGAACCTGTACTCAGGAATAGTTCGACCAAGACTCCTAGTCCAGTCAACAAGAGTTCAGGATATTATTTGAACATGAACACTGGCGTCTTTTTTCAAGATGGAGGTGTGAGGACAAACTCTGGTCCAGACGACTTGACTGCGGGTGATAGTCTTTATGAACCCGGCATTGAACCAGATTCCTTCACAAGCGCATTTCTTGGGTCCCTCGACTCAGGTTCTGGTAATCCTGCTTCTGATTTTCCGTGTGTCTACGAAGATCCTTCGACTGACCTTTCATCGATGATAATCAGTGCTGAGAAAGCCAAGATGATCGACGACGAGAAGACATTCGTGGCCGAACTGAGAGCGACGAAGAAACGCACGCCGTGGCCCGACGAGATTAGGTCCGACATGGAAGACATTGAGGAGCTGCATGCTGAACTCCTTTCCATTTTGGATGCCAACAATTTCGGCCGTTTTATCGCGTATCTAACTGAAAATTTGAAAATTTTCACAGCACATGCAGAATGTTTCAACCACGTGTCGTATTACGGGCAGAAATCGTTCAAGGTAGCACTGGCCATCTTGACGCGTCTTAGCGCCATAAGGAATTATGTCAGGACCAGCGATGGCGGCGCAATGGAAGAAGAAATTAAAAAACGTGACGTTTTAACTGCCATCGACGCAGCGTTAAAACTAATCGCTGACCGACGTGTTTTGATCAAAATTGATCAAGATAAATTCAATCCTCTGACCTGCGGCAAGTTCGTTCATCAGGGCAACTTGAAATTCATCAGGAAAAACAAGGAACAGGCGAACTTGGTGCTCACTACCGACATGTTAATTGTTGCAACTTCTGATGATTGCTACATTACGCATGTGCTCACTGACAAAATATCAACGATTTCTACGCCCAAGGAGTCTGCTACCGATTTTGAAATGACCATCGACTCGAAAGTTTCGGATGGAAAGCTTCATTTCAAGGCCAAGGATGTCTCCACCAAGAACGAATGGATGAAGCTCATCCGAGGCGTTGTTGATGTTAAGCGTAAAAAGTACTTCTAGAAATAAGATATTGTGTTAGTTTTGTGATTGTTGTCGTGAACTCACACAAAAAATGTTGATACTGTTGTCGTGCGTGAACTTGCAGAATAATTTTCGCAAATATGTGTCAGAAACATTCAGTTCTGTCACCGCAAAAAAATACTATCTTGATTTTTCTCCATATCCTGAAGCTATTTTATTATGGTTCGCAATGTGACGATCATTTTCTCAAAGTATCTGAGTTCCTTAACACAAAGCAAATGTTAGATACGCACAATATCCTTTGATTACAATTACTTAAATTTATCGGTTTTAGATGAACTGAATGAGAAAACGATTCCGTCGATAGAAGCAAAGACTTTGTATAGATGATCCATTAAAAGTATCCATCGTTTTCTTGCCTAAACAAGGTGTATTCACCAGGTTGCCCAGTGGTTACAGTTTAGAGTACCAAGATTGGAGCAGAGAGGCGCGGGTTCGATCCCAGCTCTGTGCGCCAGTTTCTGGTCAGAATCGGCGAGGAGGCAGGGCGGTTAAGCAAAGCAAAATTGTAGCAGTTAGTTGCGAGTTCAAGACCACAACAAGCTGTGGATGTTCCGCGATGCGAAGAATCGGCGACAGGCCTATGGCCTAATAAACGCTTAAACCGCTATATTATTATAAACTATTCAATTAATATTCAATTTATTAACTCTTTAACTTTTACATGTCCATTCTTCGCTTATTTTACTGTTTGTCTGTCTTTGTCGTCTCTTTATATGGTATATATATTTGCTTTTCTTCACCATTATTGCCCAAAGACTGACTTTATGAGAAAATAATGAATAATTAAAATTCTATAATCGACATTGCATGAATAAATTAACATAATTATGACGTGAATAAATTAATTTAATTAGTGAGGATATGAAATTTAAACTAAATGAATGACTGCTTGCGGTTTTCTCAATCTGTCGATTAAGTAATTTTAACTTGCCGATGAACTTAATTTGTATTCGTAAAAACATTTTCCTATTTTAGTAATGTGTGGAAACTCCCATGTTTGATTTATGGTTATCCATGTGAGTTCTTCATAGAATTCATTGAAATGTCTGAACTTTTTACAATATTTACAAATTACAGAGTACGTTACACCAAGAATATATGGAAACAAAGAATAAGTAAACATCAAAACTACATCTTGCTAGTTTTTTTTCAGTATTTATCGTTCCTGCTTAGTGCGCAAAATATCATTGTCATCAATAATTAAGGCTCATTGACCTGTCGTTGCATTTTATTATTCGTGGACCGTAAATAACCGTGGACCGCTACCACGCCTTTACTTGAAAACCGAATAGAATCCAGCGAATGTTTCGGTCACGTAATTGCCCTCTCCTAAGGCCTTCAGTCTCACCTGAATGTATGAAAATAATATTAATAAAGAGGCTAGCATTACACATGTTTGTTCAACAACTGGAAAGAAAAAAATATATATAACTCAGTACTCACTGCAGTGAGTGACAAAGAGCGCATTTTCTCGTCGACGAAAACTTGAGGTCACGGACGGACGGACAGACAGACAGACGGACATGGCGAGCACAATAGTGCATTTTTTCCATAAATGAGAAAATGCGCTAAAAAGGCGTTGCGCTGCCGAAAGTTTCTACACATTGCTCAGATGTTGGCTATAATACAATGAATTCAATTTACATATCAGAGATAACTTTTCCAAGGTTAGTAAAGAAGATTGTGTTGCTCAGACCAGATTCAATTAAAAATATTCCGATCAAATATTTGATACATTTTCTGAGGGAACAAAACATATCGGCCATATTTTACGCAATGACAACGACGCTTCTCTCATTCCTAATATTATAGACTGAACCAATATCCTAATATTATTGACTGAACTTATGAATATTGACTTATTCATTAATGTATTCACCGGTCCAGCACTTATGTGGTCATTTATCTGGCACATTCTCAATTCATCAAAATATATTGTAAGGTATAGATTTAATAACAAATAAAATGACACTTGCTGCATCTGGACAAGCCTCAAGGGTTATAAAAAATTTTACCAATGTTAAAAGGAAATTAATAATCGAATCGAATTGAGCTTTCTACTAAAAAAATTATAGGCCAAATTTTGGACTAGCATTTTGACATTTCACAGCTCATGATGTCATTATTTTGAGCAAACATTATAAGCATAAACCTAACTAAGAATGCAAATCGTTGATGTGTAATCTCATTGAGACATATTCCTTTTAAAGATAATAAAGAGAAGAATTCTCTGTCATTCTTAGTTGTTGTAAACATGTCTATTAAATTTTAAAGAACAAAATGTTCTTTAGACCCGCGTAACCTGGTGTCGGTATTACTGGAACAAGTCTCAGCAACTCACATGTGTTTTGGAGAGTGTGCGGGCTAGAAATGGCGGGTGACGAAGAACAGTTCCGTCAGCTATTAAATGGGCTTTTAAGCCCTGATAATGAAATCCGGAAACAAGCAGAGGTATGAGATATTTATATTGTTGCTCCATCTTGTTGTAAATTACAATGATTGAGATAAGGTATTTCGATTTTCGGCATACTCGATTTCTAATGAAGTTGCAACGTGGTTTCATTGGATTGTTGAACAACTTCAATACTGTTTAGGCGTTCCTGGCATAGTTTTTTGTTCGAAGTCTAAAATTTGTCTATTAAATTTTTAAGAAATGCATGAATATGTTATTGATGGATTTGTCTTTAATTCTAGCCCAAATCTTGGTACCTATTACTATTAGTATTAGGTACCGCCGGCGCCGTGGAAGTCCTCACTCCTCAACAGCCAATCTGCAGCAATGCTTTAAAATGTTCTAATGCGAATAAATTGCGTTGGAGTTATTAGGGTAGTTAGATTCTGAATCAGAATTCTTTGACTGAAAAATAATTTTGGTCCTTGTAAATTGTAATGTTTATGTTGATTGTTGTGCATGACTGCATGAATTGCTCATTGTTGCTTTAATTTGCTGGAATATGAGGCAGGATTTCCAATAAATCATTTGTACAAACTACAAAATATAGTTAGTATATAGGTACAAACAAATGTGCAATTTTTGTTATATTTATAAAAAGAATTCAGCTAGGCCTAAGTCTTTAAAAATCATTTAGGTATAAGGCATTTTTTGGTACAGTATGTGCAAAAAATTTTTTTGTCACTTAATGAAAATTAGACAGCTGAAACTGAAAGAATAAAATTAGGAAATTAACATTGGCTACACCATTTTCAATTAACACCATTTTCACCATTTTTAGCACCAGATATGAATTGTATAAATTGACCAGAACTCACTCCAGAAGGCAAAATTGAACAGAATAAATTTCATTTTGATAAATAATTTATAAATAAATTAGCTATAATTAGTGAGTAGTGACAAATACAAAATTACATGATCAATAAATGATATATGAATGGTGAATGAATGATGAATAAGTGAATGAATGAATAAATGAGGGATGATTGAAGAATGAGTGATGCAGGTGGGTTCATTGATGCATTCATTAGATGAAAGATCAATGGTAGGTAAATGATAGCGAAAAAAATTCTGAGAAATTGATGAGGAAATTATGAAAAAATTATATGTAATAGATAACAATAAATGATAATAATGAACTTTGAATAATGATAATAAATGATGATTGCCATTGGCATTGGGCATTGCATTGCCATCCCTAGCCTAGGGCTAGACTGGCTGGCAGTAGCACTTGACTAATTACACTAGTAAGTAGATCAGGGGCTAGGTGCAAGTAAACAATTTCATGAAACAGTTTTTTCTAGTAGTAAAATTGTCCTGGTGAATCAATTATTTGCAATAAACTCTTAAACTTTTTGAAATGAACCAAAACACTACCAGTACCAGCTCATGAACTGCAGTGCTACCATGCATTTCCGCAATAGTAGAAATCACTGTTGAAATAGCTGCAGAGCTCTGAAATTTTGAAAGCATGCTATAAGAACTGTAATCTTGATCTGAGAGACTGAGATTATCATTCATCAATTTGTAAATCTGATATCAAGGTTTATTTTTAGCATAAAGTGTTGCCCTTTGCACATCCAAGTGAAGCAAGTAATTCATAGAAATTTCTTAAGTAACACGATGGTGTTGTCATAGTTCAAGTTTTTTTTTAGTTTGTTTCCAAACATAAGTCAATAAAATTAACTAACATTTGGGCGGGACTGTTAAAATTAAATACCTTACTCGTGCCAAGGTGGAAAGTGTCTGTCCACCATTTTGACAGCATTGTTTACATTTGAGCATAGTTTGTGCACATACCTACGTGATGATTTTTGTCTCTGATGGTTTCTGACCAAATTTCAAAAATGGGCTGGCCTTAGGCTTATAGCATAGCATAAAACATGGTAGCAGTTGGGTATGTGCATTGTGCAATTTTTTTTAATAAGAAAATTTGTCACTTTAAATTTTAAAAAGTGATGAATACTATCAACAACAAATATTACTATATATTACTATTATATAGTAATATATAAATGTAGTAATATATAATATATATAAAAGTATATTATGTAACATTTTAAATGAAATTCTGCTTCTTTGAAGCTTTTCTAGCATAACTGTTGATATATGAAGTGAGCATTTCTTGAGCTTGTGTACCTGCTAGAATTAGATGTGTGGGGCATTGAGTTGTAAGCTTTTTGACAACACCTGCACACCTCACAGCTGTCATCCACACATGGCAGGCTGCCACAGCAGAGCCTTGGTGCATCTGACACATGTTTTGAATGCTTCCTTACCTTATTCCACAATCCACATAAATCAACATTTAAAAAATCATGTCATAACATTAGGTTATTTTGCAAGTCAGGTCAAGTGACTCTTCTACGTCACTTCTTTACTACGTATATCAATTCCATGTGCTGATATAAATGAATTATTGATATTACTTCATTTTTTGCAGTATAAAAATGTATTTAGCAGAAAAGGGTGGAGTGACAGGCACTATAATTCAAGAAATATCACTCATTTGATTTACTAATTTCTGTAAAAACCTTTCAAGTTTGCTGCCATTTGCCTCTACTTTGATCCATGTGGTTTTTCATTCATAAAGCTTCCTATGCTGTTGTATTCAGATTACCTTGTGAGAGATTCTCTTGTTTTAATAAGTTATTTTGCCAAATTGTCACTTGTGTACAATTTTATATTAAGCTACAATTTTACAGTGAATTATTATTTAGTAATGATTGCCAATAATTTTTCAATTTATTTTAATCAACCTTACTCTGTGGCATGTCAAATTTATGCTTGGCTGCTACTGGAGGTCTTTTTTCAGGAGGCCATGTTAGGGCAGCTGTATATATAGTTTCAATTTTAAATTGTTTACTATTTGAGTTAAATTTTGAACAATTGTATACTATTTGAATTAAATTTTGAACTAATCACAATTTGAATTAAATTTATACTTTATACAGTTGGGATTATATTTTAAACTCAATAGAATTTTATTTCAAACTATGAAGTGTGTACAATTCAATTTGTTTTAAATTGTAAAATATGAATTGTATTTCAAACTCAATACAATTTAAAGTGCATTTTGAATGGTGTATAATTTGAATGTTATTTTAAAATCTAAAGTGCGTGCAATTTATTTATATTGAACATTGGCTTGCAGGACACATATGACACGGTGAGCTCAGACACGAAGCTCCAGCTGCTGCTGGGGGCTTTGTTTGAGGAGAGCCTGGGCGAGGAGCTGCGGTCCATGGCAGCTGTCCTGCTACGTCGCTTCCTCTCCTCCAGCTTTGATGAAGTCTTTCCCAAGGTAATATTGTTAATATTAGGATTATTTTATGTTATTATAGATATTCCAAGGTAACATTGTTGATATCAGTATTATTTTATGTTATCATAATTACAGATATTTACAGAGTAACATTGACATTAGGATAATTTTATGTTATCATATAAGATTATATTGTATTATTACATTATTGATATCATTTCCCAAGGTAGCATTATTGGTATTAAGAGAATGTATATTATTGTTATGGTAAGTGATCTTTTCCAATGTATGATTATTCAAACTAAGATTAGGGATTGTTTTATTAGCTGATTAAGAGAGAATTTTTAATTGAAAATATCCTCAGTTGGATTAATTTGGTGGTGCCTGGTATCATTTGAATTGAAAAATGGTGATTTTCTTGTAATTTTGTTCAATTTGATATTTAAAGATCGTTGGTAATCAATCCTTAATGCCTGATGTTGGTGATTACATTTGAAGAAATTCATTTGATATTGTGTCCAACACTATCAATTTCCTGTTATGATAAAATCTTGAGTGGCTTGAAAGTTACAATCAATTCATGAGAGTTTTTTATTTTAATATTGGAAACTCAATTTTTCATGTATTTTTTTTTTTTTGTCTCATATACAATATTTTAGACCATTCTGTTACTGTAAACACTGGATTGTGTATGTTAAAGAAATGCTAAGCAAAATGTTTAGTGTGCAAACTTGAAGTGACAAACAGGTTACCTTCTCTGTTTTTATGTTATTTATTACTATTTACATTGATATTGAATGCATATACATACTCTCCAAATTACAAATGGAACAGATAAAAGCATATGAATTCTGGTTGCAATGCTCATTAAGCAAAATAACATTGATGAAATATTATAACATGTTATTATAATATTATAACATGTTATCAGTTGCAATGTTGTGACAGTTTCTGGTGAATTTCTTGAGTTTCTGCTTGTGTTGGCCTCATTTGTGGTATTTTATTATGGAACTAATTGCTAGATTAGCAATTATTCTACGTGTATGCTGTCTTGTCACTTCAGATTATAAGGACTCCTTACTGCTTATGTTTCTATAAGTACTGCTTTTTGCTGGTGCGGTGCTGTAGGTAAGTGTGGGAAAAACCAAGAAGTGGCACGGAATGGCAAGAGATGAAGTAAACAGTAGAAAATGAAGAATGTGCATAGCAATTAACTACTAAGCTGATATTAGGTGTGTGAGGTTTGGTTGAAGGGAAGGACTGCTGCCAACGCCAGCACTGACGGCCTTCACTTGGCTTTTTTTTTTTTTTTGGCTTGGAGTTTCTTGTATAGCAATATTCGCTAATAGCTCTTCAATAATTATTGTCAAGGTTTTCCTGCAAGTAAAAAAAATGTCTTATTTTCTATACCTGCAGCTGCCATCTCATGCCCAGACGAGACAGTTGTATTCACTTGAATACGGTTGTTAGATCTTCAATTATTGCAATTTTTTTTTTTCATGGGCAAAATTACGAGATGATTAACTTCTTGTTCTTGTTTGTGCAGCTGCCGCCCCATGCCCAGACGAGCATCAGAGGCCAGCTGCTGGCAGGAGTGCTGCAAGAAGGCAACCCACAGCTGCGTAAGAAGATGTGTGACGTCATCAGCGAGCTCGCGCACGCCCTGCTTGACGAGGAAGGCAACAATCTCTGGCCTGAGTTCCTGCATTTCCTTTTTGAGAGCGCCAACAGCAACCAGGTCCATCACAAGGAGGTCGCCCTCACGCTCTTCAGGTGAGTTTTTTGTACTATTTTAAACTATCGTATAATATTCCAAGCATTATCGTGTTCTTACTTCTAAACACAACCAGAATATGCCTTTTCACTTCTCTCTAAACCTCCACAGATTACAGGTTATAATTGCTGTTGTCATAATGGTCTAGGTGAGGGTCAAAAGCTCTACTGTTTAGTATTCATTAGACACTGAACTGCTGCTTGATTTTGATTATTGATCACATCTATATTGTAACTACCTAACACTGGTTCTAAAACAATTGGCTAAGACATTTTGATAACTAATTACGTAATCAGAGTTCTGTCGTTCAGTACTGGTTGTCCAGTGACCTATGTTTTCTAGCACTAGATTATTGATAGAATGTTCAAAATCTCATTTTTCAGTACAGTCTTTATCTAGTCGCCTTCAAATAATCATCTACTACGTTTGTGCTAGAAAATTTTAGATCTTAATCAATGAAATATTTGTGCAGTTTGGTGCCTGGAACATTTGGTAACCAGCAGGCTCAACATCTGGGCATGATACGCACCATGCTGCTCTCCTCCCTCAACGACACCGCCAACCCCACCGTCCAAGTAAATAATCTAAATACTCTATTTGCTTGTTTTTGTTATCTTCATTGTTGAATCTATGATGCAACATTATCTACTTAATTTTTGAATAAACTTCAAAAAGTGCAATCAAATAATGGGCGACTGTAAAATCAGTCGATATTGATTATTGAATTTAAATTTAATCATGTATCTTACCAGCATTTTCATGGCTCTTCCTCATTATTAATTGCCATTCAGAAACTTTCTGAAGTAATTTTGCCCTCACACCATCATTCATCTTGGTTTAATTCGGCGTCTATGAGTAAACTTGGTAGAGAAATTTCATCTTGATACACATTTATTGCTAGAGTTTTTATGCACACATGACGTATGTATTTGTATTGTTCAGGCGCTGGCAGTGAAGGCGACGTCATCGTTCCTGCTGCTACACGACAGCGAAGCCACCATCCACAAGGGCTTTGCTGATCTCCTCCCGCCGATGCTAAACATCATCGCGGCCTCCATCGAACAGGGCGATGATGATGCGCTGCTTAAGAGCCTTGTTGATGTGGCTGAGACTTGTCCTAAATACCTCAGACCTCAGCTCGAACCCATACTTCAACTCACGGTCAAGGTAAGCAGCTCAAACCCATGCTTCAACTCACGGTCAAGGTAAGCAGTTCAAACCCATACTTCCACTCACGGTCAAGGTAAGCAGTTCGAACCCATACTTCAACTCACGGTCAAGGTATGCAGTTCAGACCCATACATCAACTTACTCGTCTGATATATTTTTGTTGATATTCTATAAAGGCAGCCGCCAATGAGGTGTCGTAACGTTTTAATATAACATGAACCATCAGTTTCATTAAAAATTTATATATATGATCTCCTAATGAAGGCACTTTAACTGCAAACAAGTATTGAAATGTGACACTCTTAAGCTTCAATGGTTCGTGTTTGCCAGGTGCTACCAGATGACAACATCCCTGAGGCGTTCCGGCACCTGCTGCTGGAGGTGGTGGTGACGCTGGCCGAGACAGCACCTGGCATGGTGCGCAAGGTGTCTGGCAAGTACCTCGCCCAGCTCATCCCCCACGTCCTCAACATGATGACGGACCTTGAAGACGAAGAGGTGGTTTATATTGTACTTTGTGCTGCTTTATATCGGATTTACAGTATGGTGCTTTGTATAGTGCTTCATTTGTAGATTGATGATGATACTATGTATGCATTAGGGAATGAAGCGATTCATCCAGCCTTGCATTCATGAAATTTTGAAATATATTAACCTTACATATACGAGGCAGTGAAATTCTTTACATATGTGTATTCATCGAGCTTTGATTGATACTCTTTATGATATCATGTACGAGTTTATTGTAAAGTGCAAGTGGCGATTCATTGTACAATGCAAGTTGTGATTTAGTTGTAGCTAAATTCGGTAGTGTGGTGTCTGATCAGCTGATCAGGGTAGGTCTCACTTAATTAAATGATGTCCTCAACTGACCAAATACTTGAAGCTACGAGTGGTGGGTCCGGCGCAAAAAATTCCGTGAGATTTTTGTGCTTAGGCAGATGATATTTTTCAGTGCTTGTTTATTAGATGCCGTTCAGTATTTTTGCATCCAGTTCTGTATACACTGTTTTTTTTTTCACTCTTTCGTCAGTTGTTACCTAACCATTGCATATACTATTGAAGTCCTGTGTTTTGTTTCATATTTCGATTATTCAACTGTTCTTAATATTTTTACTTAATCTGTTGTTTCTTTGTATCTAATGCATATTAATGCCAATTGTTTGCTGCATGCTCTCTGTTTTTGCATAGATAACCCCTAACTGCTAATCATAAACATGTGATATCTCAGGAAGCCATAACCCACAAGACTGACAAAAACTAAATAAACGTCCCGAATTTTTATCTTAACCATTGTCTCAATGATTAAAACATAACCTCACTTAACCATTCCTCCCAGGACTGGAGTGTGAGCGATGAACTATTGGAAACCATTGTCTCAATGATTAAAACAAAACCTAACTTAACCATTCCTCCCCGGACTGGAGTGTGAGCGATGAACTATTAGAATCCATTGTCTCAATGATTAAAACATAACCTCACTTAACCATTCCTCCCAGGACTGGAGTGTGCGCGATGAACTATTGGAAACCATTGTCTCAATGATAAAAAACATAACCTCACTTAACCATTCTTCCCAGGACTGGAGTGTGAGTGATGAACTATTGGAGGAAGACAACGACAGCTCGAGCGTAGTGGCCGAGTCATCACTGGACAGGCTGGCTTGTGGTCTGGGGGGCAAGACGGTGCTCCCACACATCAACTCCGCCCTCTCGCAGATGCTCAACAGCCAAGACTGGAAGCATCGTCACGCTGCCCTTATGGCCATCTCGGCAGTGGGCGAGGGCTGCCATAAGCAGATGGAGGCCATGCTGCCTCAGGTAGGTTCTTATACCATGTTGCCTCTAGTCGGTTGTTCCTTCTGTGTTAAGGAATTTGAAGAACTTTGATAGTTTGAGCTTCAAAAGTTTGAATAAAGTTTTTATTGGTTGTTACTTTCTTGTTTGTCGAAGTTTCTCTTTGTTCAACGTTAGTTTTAATGCTTGATTTTTCATACGCAATTATTTTGACAAAATAGAATTTTATCACAAGTGATAATGTGGCTGTAATTATTATTTACATGTGCATAAAATTCTATTCTCGTACACTCGAAGTTATGAGTAAGATTTGTTGTAATCCGCACTTCTTTTCAACAGATTATGGACGCCATCATCGTTTTCTTGCGCGACTCACACCCCCGCGTTCGGTTTGCGGCGTGTAACGCCATCGGCCAAATGGCCACTGACTTTGCACCGACATTCCAAAAGAAGTTCCATGAAATGGTCGTGCCTGGCTTGCTGGCCGTCATGGAGGACGCTGCCAACCCCCGCGTTCAGGCTCACGCAGGCGCCGCACTCGTTAACTTTTCTGAAGTCTGCCCTAAGAATATCTTGACTACATACCTGCCAACTATCATAGGCCAGCTTGAGAGAATCCTGGAGGCAAAGTTCACAGAGCTCATGGAAAAAGGAACCAAACTCGTTCTTGAGCAAGTGGTGACCACCATCGCTTCTGTGGCGGACACTGCAGAGGAGAACTTCTTGCAGTATTACGACAAGTTCATGCCTTGCCTCATGTACATTATTGAGAACGCCAACTCTCAGGAGCTGAGGATGCTTCGGGGCAAGACAATCGAGTGCGTGTCTTTGATAGGGCTGGCCGTGGGGCCTGACAAGTTCATGACTGACGCCGGCAAGATGATGGATCTTCTTTTGAAAGCTCAGACAAACCAAGATGAAATGAGTGATGATGACCCACAGGTGTCTTATCTTATCTCAGCGTGGGCTAGAGTTTGCAAGATTATGGGCAAGAGATTTGAACCTTACCTGCCTCTTGTGATGGGCCCTGTACTGAAGACGGCTTCTCTCAAGCCTGAAGTTGCTTTGCTTGACAACGAAGATATGAACACCGTCGACAATGAGGATGACTGGCAGTTTGTTTCTATTGGAGAACAACAAAACTTCGGTATTCGTACGGCCGGTCTTGAGGAAAAGGCTACAGCTTGTCAGATGCTCGTGTGTTACGCTCGTGAGTTGAAAGACGCTTTTGCAGACTACACTGAAGAAGTTGTTAAGCTTATGGTCCCAATGCTAAAATTCTATTTCCATGACGGAGTCCGAACTGCTGCTGCTGAGTCACTGCCTTACCTGCTCGAGTGCGCCAGGATAAAGGGGGCGCTGTATTTGCAAGAAATGTGGAGTTTCATTTGCCCTGAACTTCTAAAAGCAATTGAAACAGAACCAGAAAATGAAGTTCTCAGCGAGCACATGTACTCCATGGCCAAGTGTATTGAGGTTCTAGGCTCGGGGTGTCTGTCTGAGGAACAAACTACCGAGCTCGTCAAAATGCTGGATAAAGTCCTCACTAACCACTTCGAGCGCGCCAACAAGAGACACGAGAAGAGAAAAGATGAAGATTACGACGAGGTTGTAGAGGAACAGCTTTTAGATGAAGACGACGAGGATACGTACGCTCTCAGTAAAGTGTCAGACGTGCTGCATTCTTTGTTCGCCGCGTACGGCTCTCAGTTCTTCCCCTTCTTTGACGCCATTCTTCCTCACATCGTGCACCTCCTCAGCCCCGAGAGGAGTTGGCCAGATCACCAGTGGGGATTGTGTATATTTGATGACGTCATCGAGTATGGCGGGCCAAACTGCATCAAGTACACTGACCACTTCCTGCAGGTCAGATGCTAGTTCATAACACATGATAATTGTAAACATTTTAATGAAAATGTGTTTTGTAATGTTTAAATCCTGTCATAAATGAAATTCGACTTGTTTGCTGTATACAAAATTTTGTGTAGAACTTACCTAAACTTGGAGATGTATTCAAATCATGACATTTCCGGGTATCAAATTTTATGGAATAAATTTATCCTTCTTACAGGGGCTGATCTAACTTGTATTAATGCACTAACATGTCAACCTTGTAGCCTGTTTGATGGCTCTATTCCAGAGCCTAATGCTTTTGATAGCTGATCGTTAAAGGCCTTGAAATATGAAAAACGTTTTCTATGGTTATGTATTCATGGTCACAGGGTAATTTCTTTAGCTCCTGGCCCTCGCTACAAAGGCTGGAGATACGAAAACGAAAAAATTTGTACACAATTTAACCATATTCTGAAGTTTTACTCGATATTACAGCCGCTGTTGACACAATTTTATCATATTCTGAAGTTTTACTCACGTTCCTGCCGGTGTGGGAGGACGCGGACGAGGCCCCTCACGTCTACGGCTACCTGTGCGACCTCATCGACGCCAACCACCCGCTGGTGCTGGGCCCCAACAACGCTAATCTGCCCAACATCGTCGCGCTCTTTGCCGAGGTTAGTCATCTATAATTATTAACATTTGTCCACACTGCCGTCTTCTGCCCTTGGTACTCTTGGTACTTGTTTGGGACACAGCAGTCCCAGGCCACGATGGATCGCCGCCTCTGATTATCGTTCATCCGCCCTCATTTGGGCCACCTGATGCACGATGCTGCCGGACGACGTGCCTCATCTTTTCAACTGCATCAGTAATCCTACAACCATCAACATCCTAGACCTAAACAACTAGACCCCTAGACAACATTAGGCCTATGGCGAAGGTCCGTTCAAGTGGCTGGATGGCTCCGGCCCCGTCTGGACCAGCCTGGCTGACGCGGTCGACTGGGGCAACAACAACAACCTATAATTATTATTTATTGTTACAAGTCTTTAAATCATCATATGTTGAGGTGACGCTCTTCACTGAGGTGAATTTATTATAGCTAATCACTATATCCTGCGGTGACGCTCTTGGCCGAGGTAAGGTGCTTATTTCCTAGCAGGCTCAGGCTTGCTAGGTGCTTCTTTCTATTGTGCTTCACAATAGGAAAAAGTCTTCAGAAAATTATTTACATGAGGTCAGTCAATTGTAACCAACATATATTGAGATATTAGATGTTAAAATCATGTATAAGATGGTGATTGAACAATGTTTTGTTGGAAGAGGATGTTGACTGAAAAGGGATTATTTTGCCTGTCAATCAGTTTTCGCAGTTATTTGGCCAGCATAAAATGCACTGACTTCTCTGTTCACGATGTTTTTGAAAATAAACCTTATTTGCAGGCGTTCATTAAAGAAGCGATCGAGCGCAGCAGTGAAGTAGGCGAGCGAATGGTGCTGGTGTTGCAGCAGCTGCAGGCCAGCCCCGACGTCTTCTCTGTCGTCCTGCAGCACTTGTCTCAACAACAGCAACATGCCATCCATATTTTCCTAAATCCTCAGGATTCAACGGCTTCTTAGTGTGGTGTGGTACACGTCTCTCTGCTTCTGCTGCTGTGAGAAGCTCTCATCTTCTCCAATGAATGCAATGACATAGCGCGAGAGGATTGAGTTCTGTAAAAATATATCAGGGATAGAGTTAAATTTTACGGAGGCTAGCTCAAAACAACGCGCTAGACTCGTGTGATGTACGATGGGTGTCCAGTTGGGTGATGCAGCAGCAGTTGTAGGAGAGGTTAAAATTGAATAGCAATGAAATCGAAACTGTGGTAGAGTGGAAGTCGAGTTGATGACAAAGTTACAGCCGCTGGCATCTTGCCTGGTTAGTTGTGCGTACGTTGTGATTCATATTGAATCTCTCGAGGCAAAATGCATGTAGACATACAAAAGACACTTGAGCAGCCTCAATGTTGTACGCACGTGGTTCTCAAACTTTTTAACCTTGTTTAACCCTATTTAATATAACTCAATATATACAGGTTGCCCTTGGTAAACATATATTAATTTGCTTCTTTCGTCACCCCCTGCATTACCCTCAAAACTTTACCCTCAGTTCGGGAACCACTCATGTAGGAGTTGGCATGAGCATACCGTGCGAGCTGTAACTCTCGTAATTCATCAGTCGGCTCACGCTCTCCGAGTTCGGAATTTTCGCCTGCTTGTATAGTCAGTGGTAGGATCCGTTGACGCCGTTACTCAGTGCTCGAGCTCGTGGCGCGGTGTCCTAGCGTCTTCGCTTTGTTGTAGTTTTGGATCTGCATATCGTAATGTCAGGGCTGCGATAGTCGTGGATGGTCGCTGTTATAATTACGTGGAGTTATGCTGTGCCAATTCTTACATCGGCGAACACGTGTCCATCTTTTCGTTGTAGTTACGCTGCAGTTGAATTGATTTATTACACCGCCTTGCTTGGGTGCTGATGATGGACTCTAAGATCCGATCCACCCGTAGGCAGAGAGCAGCAAATGTAAGTGATCTAACCGACACATAGTGTGTGATGTCGCACCATTTTTGTCTTATTGCTGTCATCACACTAGTTATTCCAGGGCACCGCATTAAGAATATAGCAAATTATATGCAGTGTGAATAACTTGAAGAACTTCAAGATAATACCGGTACCGGATAGACCACTTACATTTTTTGCCCTAAAGGTATTATCTTGCCTTCTAAGTTAATGGTCTCAATCTTCCTTTGACATTAGTGTATCGGTTTTGAAGATATCAATTCCTTTTCATCAGATTGTTTTCTTGCGATAATGACTATTTTCATTAGGCTAGTAAAGAAGGATGGAATTGCGAAAGAGCTTTAGCTGCTTGCTGCGGTCGCTGCAAGATAGCTTCTTCTCTTTTGGCTGTTGATCTTCAAAGCTAATGTACGTAGAATTAAGGGAAGTACACTTCTGTGATACCTAGGCAATTCTCGACTTATTTCCGTGTGAGACCTTGTACTGAGGGGCAAGCTGCCTGACAAATACCTGACTAAGTTAGCTATTGTGATTTAAATTCTTCTCTCTAATAAGAACATTTTTTGATTAGCATCGTGAGCCGTCGTGTGGTTAATCGCTGTCGTGTTAATGGTTAATTTGTTTTGATTCTGGCATTATTATCTATTTAACCTACCGGCTTGCCGTGCGTGACCCGAGCTTCTAATGTCATCATTAATATTTTTTTTTAAATAATGAGGCCCAATTGTAATTTTTTGTATATTATCTAATTAAATAGACAATACATCGAGAAATGTTGATGAATTTTTAGCATTTACTGTATATTATACTTTCTCTTGGGAGCCAGACTGGCAAAAACTAAATTGTTTTGTCTTGGGCTTATAATTATTAGAAATGTAAAGCGCCATTGCTTCTGGGCAGTTTGGCTAATTTCAACCTAAACCTGTAGCCTCTAAATCTTGTCACCTACGTAAACGTGCTAGAATACGTTATCTTCTCGGTAATGTTAACTTTGATCAATTTAGCTAAATTGAAACATTGAATACGTTCTACCCCTCTTTAAATTTACCCCAAATTCGGTGACTTTTCACCTAAACTAAATCATGGGGGTAAATTAGTTATTTTCAATTGTTTGGATTAATAATGAAACACGGTGCCTTCTTGTAGACGTCTTAAGCTTTTGAGTCTTCGTATTTGTTGGTCTTGTATTGTTCTTTTCGGATGTGTACTCACTGTTGAAATATTCTTACGTCAAGTTTGTAGGCACTTATAAAGGCGTTGATTTAGGATTGTCGTTACATGTACCATTTAAATTTTGAGTGCATTTTAGTAGGCCTGTTCTGAAGTGGCCGCTGGATCCAGTCGAGGACAACTACGAGCGTCAATGATGGCACTTTGACATTGCGTCCACTGGACAATCCATGATGTAAATGCAATCATTTCAGTGATATCGCTCATCATTATCCTTGTAATTCCGTGTGTCTCTGGACGTTGCGAGTAACTATGATACCCATGCTGCAAGACTGGGCATTCGTTATATATAGATATATTTCTGCGGTGGTTCAGATTAAGTTGGATGGAGAACCGCTTTCGCAGGCATCCAAATATCGTACCAGTTCCTATGATCGATGCGTTGGGTGAACGCTCGAGAGAATCGACAATGAAGAACACAATATCTTCGTATGATCGAATTAGTTACAACGAAAAGTAGAATAGCGCTGGGTTGGCGCAGGACGGACGCTAATATTACTCAAGTTTTTTCTTTAAGGTTATGAGCACCACGTTATTGTGTTGTCAATGTTCTCGTAAGATGGGCGCTGAGATTAACTCCGAAGACCGCGGGTTCATTAACAACAACCCTGCAGCTGTCTTTGCAGCTATTAGTATTTCGGTCGAAACAGCGTCTGTTGTGCGGAAGTGTCGAAGAAGTGAGGTTTCATGGCCCAAGTTGAGTGATAATTTTCACCGCTTTCGATAAATCCAGAGCAGACCATAAAGAGAGCATGCAGATAGTGGTGTTACAGAAGTTCACTCTGCCCAGTAATGCAGTAAAATCCAGGCAAGCATCGGGCTCGCAAAATCTGGAAGTGAATCACTTCTGCTCTCGGCGAGTCATATAAGGCCATGATCCATCATAATGCAAAGACATGATCATAATACGCCAAAGATACCTAAGCGCCAAGTAGTGTCTTTTGTTTTCTTCTCGAGTTCGAAAAAATGCACCCACGAGGTGCTGCTTCTCTTGATATGCTCAGAGGATGTCAGTTGTTAGGCAAACTAGTGTATCCGTAATTGATCGAGCTTTGCGACAACCGGACTGCTGTGGTGAAGACAAATCATAATCTCAAGCTGGCAGCGTGTCAGGATATGGGTTGGTGACTGAAAGTCTTTGAATCCAGTTTACCCATTTTAGGGACGAAAAAACGGCTTCTGCCCTGGTCGATACTCGATATCAATGAAGTTACATCGCTCGCCACCGAGATCGTCAGAAAGGATCCTGTCGTGAACGAAGTATCAATCTAATTATTATTAATATTTTTTTTTTTTTGCGGTGTGTTTAGGCAACCTGTAACGTCCCATTTTCTTGCAGTAACTTTTTCTTTCATTTCTGCCGTTCACGTCCACGCTAGACTCGATACTAGATTCAGCTGATCACGTACTACTTGACGCGACTGGTGAGCCTGCAGACCCACTTGTACCCTCGTATGAATTTTGTTATATCTCATATTGTGAAATGGATCATCCCATCTGACATGACAGTACCAATCCTAGGTGCTTCACAAGCCGGTCTCATTCAGCGGGTCCTATAGACAGATCGGACCAACACGGCTGAACCTTTCCTCCCACAAGCTCTTATCTTGTTACTAGTATCTGCACTTTTATCGCTATATTTTGTTTTCCTGTATATAGTCCTGTAGTATTCACTCGTGAATTTTGTTTTGCATTCACCCTAAATGTTAACGACCCGTAACTCCTGCGACACTACTATTAGGTGAGGAATCCTTCTATCCAGGCTGGCACAAGTCGTAAGGGTAGCTCACCGACTATTAAACAATGGGGGAGAAATGCTTCCACCTGCTGTCGTGGTACGAGGTGGTCATCAAATGTAACCCTGAAAATCCGAACGGCCTATTAAACCGAAGCTACCCGAGCTCGGTAGATTGAAATTCGTTCTATCCTTATGTGGGTGTGAGGTACCCATTTTAAAAGGGGAGCGTCTACCCTAAAATTGAAAATTTCCACTTTTTCGGTTTTTATACTCATTTTAAAGCTGACATTCTGCCCTATCCAATGGTACCACTGCCATCTCTCTACGTTGATTTATGATTTCACGACATTTCATGAAAGGGGGGCGGGTTGGGGAGTTCTTTAAGTAATTAGATAGGAACTAATTAGCTGCTGAGCTTTTTAAATATAGTGTCTACTTGAGTTGTGCTGCAGTTACGTGTTTAGTCTCATCTTAAAGCTGACATTCTGGCCTATCCAACGGTACCACTACCATCTCTATACGTTGATCTTAACGTACACGACACTTCATGAAAGGGGGGCGGGTGGGGGAGTTCTTTCAGTAATAGATAGGAGATAATTCGCTGCCCCAGCACTACAAATACAGTGTTTTTATGAGGTCTGACTCAGTGTGCCTTCGGGCGTTGTACGGAGAGATGTGCATGTAGTCGCTCCCATCATCCTTGAGTGGAATCAAGCTCCAGAAGCGTTTAGTTTGGTATCTATGCTACATTGAGCGCCTATTGCAGTGCGCCCGGGACTTTGTCGCGCTCTCCTCAACATTCATACTTATTGTCATGGAAAACCTATCTCCTCCTAGAGTTTTGAAACTACATCAATGAGACATATACCATTCGATTAGAAAAAGAAAGATCTACAAACGTCACTTTGTCGTTTTTCCAATTTCGTTATAGTTCGGATTTTATTTTGCAAAAAGTGGGGTAGGGCAGGGGTAAAATCGAAAAATATCGGAAAAAATGCTCCCACACCCACAAAAATGAGAAATCCAAAAAACCGCTAAGTGACGTTTGTAGATATGGTCTTTACGCATCGAATGATATGTGTCTCGATG